GAGGGCGCCCGGCCGCCCTGCCCTCCTCCCCGCCCCTGCCCCGGGCCCCGCCCCCGATCCCGCCCCTGCCCCAGGCACCCACCCGCGTTGCCGGCCCAGGACTTTGCGAGGTACCGCTTGATGAAGGGGCTGGTGTCCGTCATGATGATGTCAGCGAGGCCAGGGGGCAGGCCGGGGACGGACCAGGAGCCGTTGGCCAGGTGCCACCGCTCGTCCTGGGCGTTCGCGGTGAACTGGGGCGGCAGGGAGGGCGTTTGATATGTGGGATACGTTGTGTGCGATGATCAGGAGGGTGGGAGTGATTGGATTGAGGCGTCCCAGGTTACATGAGTGGCAGGGTTCCAAGGGGAGCTTTCCGAGCCGGCAGGTGGCAAGCATCGTGGCGCGCGCGTGCACGCGCGAGCGTGCACGCGTGCGTGTGTGTGTTTGTGTGTGTTTATGCGCGTGTGTGTGAGCACGTGTGTGTTCCGGCCCACCTCCCAGACCGAGCTGTAGCAGCAGCCGGCGGGGCAGGCTGACAGCAGCTCCGCAGCGCAGTCCGTCTTCTTGGCAGGGTTGATGCCGTCACTGTAGTCTGCGATGACGTGATGACGTAATGACACAAAACACACGGGAATGAGGGGAGATGGAGGAAGAAGTGTTAAAGGTGAAAAGGCGCGTTTCAGTCACGCAGCTCGACGGGAAGAGAAGGGCTGGTGCGAGGGAAAGGCAGGGGTGGGTTATGCGACAAGGCGGTGTTAGCACCCCCCCCCCCAAAGGGACAACAGGCGGACGAGTGCAGCGGGAGCTGCGCGGGGCGGGCGGGCGGCCCAGAGCCGGCGCTGGGGCAGTGGGAAACAAAGGCGACGGCATCGGAGCCGGGGCGGTTCGCGGGCAACGGCTGAGGCCGCAGGAAGCCGAGCGGGGCGCGGCGCGGCATTCGCCTGCTGGGCGGGTGCTCTACCGAGCGCACGGTCGGCCGCGGTCAGGGTCGGCGGCGCCCGGCCCTGGCTGCATGTTCTGGCTGCGGGATCTGACCCCGGCCCGGGCCCCGGATTCTGGACGCGGGTCCCGGCCCTGGGTCTCACCGTGGTTGCCCAACACAGCATACCAAGGGATGTCCTGTCGGGCCGGGCGCGGGGGGAAGGGGGGGATGCATACGGCAAGGGTGGCGGGACACGGGGGGCGGAGGGTTCGGAGATTGGGCTGCCGTTGGGACGCAGCCGCCCGCGTGCCGTGCGGCGACGTGCGCAGCAGGCGGCCTTTGTGGCGGACGCGGCGAGCAGGCCAGCAGGCCAGCAGGGCAGGAGGGAAGCAGGCATGCGCGCAGCACTGCGCCACAACCAGCAGGGGGTTGGGCCGCGTAAATGGGGGCCGGTTTCAGCGTGCCAATGCCGCTTGGGAAATAAAAGCGGTTGACTCGCCCCCCCACCTTCATTGTGGGCTGGTTGTACACTTTCACAAACGACTCCTGGAACGTCTTGTCGTTGGCCGAATTCAGGCCGCCTGGTTGGGAGGAGGACCAGGACGCGCGCCCGGGCTGAGGCTGGCAGCGGGTGACGTCGGGTGTGCGTGCCGGGGGAGGGTGGCTCAGGGGCAGGGGAGGGTTGCAAACAGCAGGCATCGCCGCAGGCGCGAATGCGCCCAGATCTTCCCGCGATAGGTGACCCCCCCCCCCCCGAGAAGCTCAAGAGCAGTCCAGGTTTATTTTTCCTCGCCACGCACTGTCGTAGAAGTTGTCCCCCGTTGATATGACAAAGTCCGGCCTCATGCAGGCCGCCACATCAGCCATCATCTTGGCCGCCTGCCGCTGGTCGCCATTGCCCATGCGCCCCCAGTCGCCGATCTGGGGTGCGGCCGCCGCGGGGCGGCGGGGGCGTGCAACGCGCGGAGACGAGGGCGCGTCTTGCAAGCGGGGAGCGGCGTGTCGCCCGTGTGGCAAGGGGGGCCGCCCTGGCGCCTCGCGCGCTTTGACAGGGCCAGCTGGGGCTGCTGCCTTGGCGGCATCCCTCTTGCACGTCGCACACACGCACACACGCACACACACACACATGCACGCATACACACACACACGCATACACACACAAACACATGCAACACACGCATCCGCAACAACACACACACAAACGCACGCACACACACACACATATCTCGCCCACAGCTCGAAGGTGCGGCGGCGCGCATTTTCACGCCCGCGTCGCCTCACCACAAAGAACGTGGCGTTGTACGCGCTGCCGTCCGAGGGGCGGCAGGTGTAGGGCGTTGCCTTCACTTTCTTCACGCCCATAGCCAGGAATCCAATGAGCAGGGCGCCGATGACGACAGCCACCGCCACAGCCCCGACTGTGCGGCAGCGGCGG